CCCCAAAACCCCAAAACCCCAAAACCCCAAAACCCCGTAATTCTGAATTTCTTAATTGATGTGGATTATAACTGTAATCTTTATAAATAAATTAGAAATAAAATGATGGACGTGCATGAATAATAGATGCGAATGACTAAGAATCGTGAGAAATTCGCTCTAGAAATGGAAGCTAAAGGGCAAAAGTAAATAATATAGCATTTAACATTGAAAATAGGCAGAGGTTTGGTTATTTTTCTCACCCATTAGGTCTTACTGTGGGAGATTCTAGTACATTTTATGATAAGCCAAGTAAAGATAATATTCTTCAAAGTAATCTTATAGGAAAGGAAAAGTATGAAGTCGGAAAGGTAAAGCAAGTGCTAACAAATCCTAGCAGAGGAACTGGGGATACTTTTGAAAAGCTTAAATCAAATGCAATCGGCGATGCTTTCATTGACCCAGGTCAATATTTCCTAAGGAAGAATGATCGATCACAATCCTAAGGTGTTTTCAGACCAAGTGGGTGTAACAAGACAGTAAGAAATTCAGAGTTTGGGCATTTGCACAACGGTCCTCCCCCTAGACCTTAACCTGAGAAGCAAAAAAACTTCCTTACTAGATCAACTTACGAGATGTTCCAGAAAAAATTACCTTACTCTGAGGATCAGTATGAGCATAAGGAAGATGACAAAAGAAATGATTATATTGATAATAGAAGTAAGATTTTACAACCTGAAAGGCCATATACATCAACTGTTAGACAAAGAGGTACCTTTTATGGATCAAAGATTACTTTTGGCACAGATAAAGATTTTCCTGATGTAATCAATATTCAATTAAATCAACTTTGCTTTAGAAGCCTAGAAACCCTCCCAGACCACCTTCTTATGGACCCTTTAAGAGACCTAATCTGCCTCATTAGGGTTACAATAAGACGATTGGAGCTAACATGAATTACATAGAAGATCCTTTAGAAGATCCAATTCAGTATAAGAAGGGAGTAAAGGGCCCTATTTGGAAAGGACCCAACTATGGGATTACAAGGCCTATTCAAACAATTCATGACTACTTTAGAAATTCTGCAAGAGAAAACGCATTTTTGTTCTCTAGATGAAAAAACAAATGATATGATACAATTAAGTTTCATATTCATCCTAGGATTGATAGAATACAATTTTAATGATTTAAGCATGATTATTATGAAGAAGAAGACTATTTTGGTAAAATTTTAAGTAAAACCTTATTGTGATTAGTTTTTATTAGTTTATTTTTGTAATTATTGCTGTGAGTAGTTAGGGCAAATGTTTTCAAATCATTGACATAGTTTTTGGTCTCAGAACTTTTGCCTTTTATCAGGTTGATCACCGTATTAATTAAAATGTCCATTATCTGGCTGATCTCTCTTCCCTAGCTAAGCATAATTATTATCTCCATTATTGTTATAGCCATTGTCATGAATACCGTTTTAATCTATACTGTTTCCCACTTTAATCTCAATCTTTGACTCTTTGCTTTCTTATTTTTATTTTTAGCCATAGAGTAAACCTTTTTCCTTCAAAATTTATTCAGTATTTCTCAGAATTGCAACACTTGAGCAATTCTCTTAAAGGTATTCAAAATAGAATCTAGCAAGTTCAGATCTGTCGTCATCATTTAATCCACTCTGGCTGTGATCAATTCCTTTCTCAAAAATTTAGGTTATTTTACCATAGACTTCAGGTATGACACCATCCATATGTTTTAAAAAGTTTGCATAACTTAAGTATAGCATCTTTGAGCCCTTAGTCTTTGACAATGCTTAGTTTAGAATCTCTACTGCTCTGTTAGGATCTTAGCATTTGAAGGCTAAAAATCTTGCATATTATATCACTACGTAAGAAACAGTTTCGATTTCATTTTTCTATTACGAAGATGAATAAGCTCTGAAGTAGAGCTCTTTCACCTTCTCATTATTATTTTGCCTCTTCTCAAAGTTGATAAAGGCAATAAGACTTTTGATATAGTCAGGGGCGATTTCATTTTATAAATTCTCGTATATTCTTCTAGATTTTTAAACCTATTATTACTCCTCTTCAAACAATGCATTTTCGATCATAAAGTCTACAGTTTCATACTTATCGGCATGCTTGATTCTATTCTCAAACTTAGCTCTTGCAAGTTGTGGGTCTTTAAGATTTTTCTCAATGAATTGAATATAGGAGATCCAGAAGTGTTTGTCTTTATCTAGAGAAATCAAAGCTCTTTCATAGAGCAGTTTAGCTCTCTTTTGCATATCCTGTGAGATTTCGAATTTAATATAATCGATCCAGATTTTCTTCTCCTCTTCTAGAGTCAACCCATCTTTCCAAACACTTATAATTTTGTTTTCAAAGACTAATCTCAAGTCAACTCTGCTTTTAGTCTCAGCTGAAATTTCTTTAATTTTGGCTATGAATTCAAACTTGTCGCCATTGCATGTCTAGAACATAAGTTTCACTATAAAATTGGTTAAGTAAAAGCTTGAATGGTATTGGATAGAAAAGGGAAAGATCGAATAGTGAATTGACGAATAAATAACTTGAAATATATTATATCTATACCCGTTTCAAGTGCCGCCTATATTAACCATCTATCTATTTAATCAACTTGTATATTTCTTCAAGCCACTTAGTGTTATTTAATGACGTTTCATCATTTGCACATAATGGAGGTATGTTTAAATGTTTGGGCAGGCGTTCAAGTACTTACTACGATATCTTCCTTCTCTTTATCAAATTGTTATTACATTCAAAAGAAGAAGAAAAGTTTGATGATTGAAAGAGATTTGAGATGATTGTCTCAAAACGGAGTTATTTTTACATTGTTCTTACCTAATTCTTCATATTTAGCTTTGTATTTCTCAGGCACTACAATCTCAGGGTTGTTAACCTCCTCACAAATAGGATCATACAGGTTCTCAATGATTTCAAGGTATCTATAAAATAAATTGAATGCTGAGTATTATTTACTTCGTCTCTGCTTCTTCAGTTCCAATCAGAGGTGTCTTTACGGAGAGATATCCTAATAAGTTGACGAAACTCATATGATTCAAAGTTGTCTCGAAATCCATGTACTTCGTCCAGATTTCAAGCCCCTTCATATGTTGACCGACATTATCTACTGCTCTTTCAAAGATTTACTTGCATTTGTCTTCCTCTTGATTAGTGAAATAGTGAATCTCCATTGCGAAATCCACAAATCTCTTCCAGAGCTCGACCTAAGCTGAATTGTATCTTAAGCTCTTTTCATAACTAAGTATATTAGAATTCTTCATTAGTATTGATAATGACTTACCATTCCTAAGCCTCGGCAATTTTGTTCTAAGCTACTAGTAAATTTGCGAGTTTATGCACATAAATGTAGTTTAAGGGGTCTTTATTGCAAATGTCCTGTATGACTGCTATGTACTACGGAGTTTCTGTGTGTCCCAACTAAATCGAATTTAGATTTATTATATATTTACTTGTTCAAGGTTAAACGCTTTGCTAAATAGCTGCTAAAGATTTAGCTGATCAGTGGCGACTGCGGACATTTTGAAAAATTAATTATCAATTATTTTACGCTATTAATTGCTAAATATATTATTATGGCTTAATTTGTCTCAGAAACTGCAATCAGTATTCAGAATATTCATTTTGATGACAAGTTTAGAGTCTGAGGGGTTTTGGGGTTTTGGGGTTTTGGGGTTTTGGGG